GCAATAGCTTAGGAAATTCATAACCTTGAGACCAGTTTTGCAAGAAGTATTAAAGGAGCTTCCTTAAAAGACAGGATAAACTTCCCAGCACATGGCACTGAGTACTGCTGTACTCCACTAGATTAAGAAAGGTGATTAGCTGTATTCATCTATATTTGCATAGGTGTCACACCTCCACAATAAAGAGAGAGAGGAGGAGGAAGAGAAAGAAACAGAGACAGAGAGACAGAGACACTGCCTATATGCAGAATACAAAAGAAACAGAGTAAAAGAAATGCAAATGGCCAAAGTCATCAAAGTTAACTGTTATGTCTGTAAAACTGAGCTTACACTGCAAGGGCTGGGAGGGATCCTTGAGACACCAATGGAAAGAAACAGGCTCTCTGGTGTTTGGATGTGGTATTGAAATGATGTGTGCATGAAAAGTATGATTAACAGTATTGTAAATCCAGGTACATCATAAAAAAAGGTTTTAAAAAACTGAGAAAACTAATCAGACTTTCAGTAATCTGTAAGAATATTAATGAAGACAATCAACTGAATATTGATGTGATAATTTGAATCATATAGCCCCACACAAAAGCATGTTTTTGAAGTTTTAATCCCCATTCCCTAATAATGAATTTCTTTCTTTTTTTAATTGAATCACTGTGAGAACAGTTACAAAGCTTTCAAGGATAATGTATTCTTTTACATAAGTAATCAAGTTAAAATGAGGTAAATAGAATGGACCCAGGCCCAATATGACACAATTCCTTAAGACAGAGGGACATTTGGGCATAAAAACAAATGCAGAGGGAAAAAAATCATAGACAAAAGAAGAAACCCACCAAGCTCAACTGAGTGAAAACAACAAAGGCACAAACAAGTAAGTTCTTAGACAATGTCTTTGTGATACTATGTGAGGATGTTCAATGAGTTCAGAGTAATGACACCACAAGCAGTCAACACCTCACCAAGAATTCTCTATCTAGATAGACTGTCATTCAGATTTGAAGTAACAATACAGAGCTTCATGAACAGGCAACAGCTTAAGGAATTTCATAGCCTAGAAACCAGTTTCACAAGAATCATTAAAAAAGCATCTCTAAAGGATAGAACAAAGTTCCCAATATGTGGCATTAAATATATCACTAACACAGGATCGCCCTCTACTAAATTAGGAAAGGTATGTTTAATCCTTGCTTTCTAAGGGATTTTACACATTTTCAATAGTTAATTAAAATTTTATGTTGGTTAAAATCACAAGAAATTAATCATCACTGACTTTTATTGATTTATTTTCTGACAATCCCATTTGCCATTCTCTTAAGTTTTATTGGAGCAATTACTATGAAATAAATTTGTTATAAGCCTGTCAAGGAGCTGGCTGAGGAGTAGGAGGGAACCTGAGGACAAGTGTGGAGAGAAACAGGCTTATAACAAATATATTTCAAAGCAACCAATAGACAGTCCTTGATGAAGACCAAAGGTTGGTCAAGAATTTAAATGTTACTTTAAATATGAAAGAACACCAGTAAAGTATGAGCATTGTCTCTCCAAATAGAAAATACTAATAAAGATAAATTATTTTAATAACCAAAAAAAGAAATTCTGGATTTAAAGACACATTTACTTAAATGAAAAATAATTACTGTAAGGAATTAACAAGTCCTAACACGCAGAAGAGAGCATCAACAAATTTGAGAGAAAGGGTAAAAATAAATATGAAGGGAAATCATCAAGCATACAGTATATACAAAAAGAAAGTCCCATGGAAGAATGGAAAGTGAAAGAATATTTGAAGAAATAAAGGCAAAACTTCACAAGATTAATGAAAAACATGAATAAACCCATTTAATAATGTTAGGGCGCGGATCGTGATCTCCCTTTAACGACAAAGAGACTCCAGAGACTGCAAACAGCAAGCAAGGTTTATTGTAAGACTGGCTAGCCAGGGTCAAGCCGCCTACACAGACACCAGACACGCAGGTCAGTTAGGTGAGGCAAGACCCCGAACCTCTTCAAAGGGGATCTTATATAGGCCTTCACTGGCCGTTACAGCAAAGCCCGCGCATTTCATAGCCAATAGATTTGTAACAACATATGCTTTCCTAACCAATCCAATTAAGGGTACATCACTCCTTAGCCTATAGATTCAAAGATCAGCATTTACGTACATAGGCATTGTGACTAGTGGGCATCAGGTAACTTGGACATTTGGTTATCACCTTGCTTCCTCTGATTCTCAGCCCTGCATTCCGGAGGTGGATAAGGGAAGAGTTCTTAAGGGAGGTAACAGATAAGGAGGGCAGGAAAGGGAGAGTTAAAATTTATAGAGTTTTAACTCTGGAATCTCCCTCAGGGTCCCTAGGGACCTAACAATAAGTCATGTGAATTACTAGAATGCAACTGAATGAGAGTCATTCTACACAGACTTAAACACATCATTAAATTGTTTACTTATCTTCAGAAGCCACATGAAGTGGAAAATATAAATAAACCTAAATTACACTCCAAATAAAATTAGAATTTATCGAAGTTTTATCTAATATAGAACTTGTCAAAGTGTGCCTTTAAAAGGATATTGTTTTAAAACTCTGACAAGTTATCAAATTAGTCATCAAAAGCTTTCCCCCAAAAAATTTCCAGTTAATTAGATTCATGGTAAATTTTGCCAAAAACCAAAAAGTAAAGGAAAATAAAATTAACAATAACTACTCATGATGTTTCTCAAAAAAAAAAAAAGGACTTCCAACTGATTCTGATTCATTCTATGATGACAATTAAAATCAAAGACATCATAAGAAACTAAAAACCAATTTCCATTTTGAACTGGAGATCTAGTTCAAAATGCAAATATCAGGATGGGAGAGATAGAACGGATTTTAAGGCTTTTGCATTATATGTGGCCAGTCCCACAAATATTTTGTTCAAGCAACAGCAGAAGTGACCTCTGAGCACAGAACCCAAAGTTAATCCTGAGTACCTCCAGTGACCTCTCCTTCAAAATAAGTAAAAGCAAAAAATCAATATCATACCACAGTAAAAAAGGACTAAAACTATATGGCTATCTAAACATGTTTAGAAAAAGCATCAAACAAAACCTAAAATCCTTCACAATGAAAACCAGCAAACTAGGAAAAGAAGAGAATTTTTTAATATTATAGAGTGCAATTATAAAAAAGTCACAACATATAATAAAAAAGTGCACAATTAATATAAATATTTATAAACCCTTCATTTCCCACTAATATCAGAAATAAGACTTCTGCAATTATCAATACTGAACTAGAAAATCTTGCAATTGGCAAGAAACTAAAAAATTCAGATTGAAGAAGGGTTTAAAAACTATACTTGCAGATTACATAATATTATATATACCAGGGTATGATTCTATATAAAACCCTAAAAAAAAAGCACAAAAAAAAAACTATCCTCAGGATAGAGCTATCCTCTGTACAGTGGAGAGCTCCTATGACTATCCTCAATACAGTGCGGAAGGCACTTATCTTGCATGCTGTCAACCCAGGTTTGATCCCTGGTATCCCATATAATTATGTGCCCTAAGCACTATCAGGAGTAATTCCTGAAAGCAGAGCCAGGAGTAAGCCCTAAACAGTGTCAATAAGGAAAAAGGAAAATAGGAAAAGAAAATGACTACTCTGCCCCACCCCAAAATGGAGCTAATAAATTGACAAAGGTAATACGATAGAATCCAATAGACGCTACCAAGAGTATTCAACCTGCACAGCAGAGCCTAGCAAGCTCCCCGTGTTGTATTTGATATGCCAAAAACAGCAACAAGTCTCATAATGGAGACGTTACTGGTGCCCACTCGAGCAAATCAATGAACAACAGGAAGACAACACTACAGACGGTGCAATACAATAGAACATCAATTTATGATTTTATTTCTATGCAATAGCATTGCACAGTACAAAAACCCATGTAAAAATAATTTATATTAGGATCAAAAACAATAAAAAATTTTGGAGAAAAATTTTAACAAAGTAAAAACATTTAATAAAGTATCATTAATGTTTAATGAATACTTTAATCATTGATAAAAATTTTAAAAGCTCGAAATAAACAGAAATAAAATCCACAATGTCACTGGAAGACTACACATTGTTAAAGTGGTAATATTCCCAAAACTGATAGATTCAACATAATACCTACCAAAATTCCAGTATGTACATTTACTGAAATCAGCAAACTGATTCTATTATTAATATGGAATTACAAGGGATCCAGAAAAGCCAAAATAACCTTGTAAAGATTGAATCTGAAGGAGTCACACTTAATAATTTTAAGATTTACTATATATAAAGAAACAAAATTAAAACAGCACAGTACTGGCATAAGTATGGCATCAATGAGGTCAATGGACAGAATTTAAAGTACAGAAATTAATAAAAACATTTAGTCAAATTAATTTGTATACTAAGTACACCAAGACAAATCAAAACCACAAGCAAATGGTTGAGGATGCAGTCAATGGTAAAGGCCGTGCAAGCTCATGAGACCCGAGTTCTATTCCTGGAACCCTACTCCTTCCTCTCCAAAAGAGAGAGAAAAAAAAAAAGAATATTCACATGTAAAACAAAAATCTTGATCCCTACCTTGCACTACTTACAAAAATTTAATTCAAAATATATTAAAAAGTTGTACATGACTACTGTATGATAAAATCTTGTGAATCTAAAATCTTTGTTATTATTTGAAAATAAGAAAAAATTATAGCACATTTGATCTGTACAAATTTAATATTGTTACCAATTATTACATAATAATAAAAACCATTATATGTAAATTCAGTTAAATAGCTTTTACAAAAATATTAAAGCAGCTAAATCCATGTTATACATTGATCAGTCTAATATGCAAAAATAACTATTTCATAGAAGGACAGGGGTGTAGGAGACAAGAATAATTGTGTAAATATTAATCTTTTGACCAAAATGGTTAAAATTTAAACAAATATTACTTTCTTAAAAATAATGAAAATATATTATTACCTGGAAAATTTGGTGATCCCACTATTTTCGTTGGTTCTTTTGTCAAATGAAAACCTCTTGGTAACCGAACCAAATATGCAACTATTGGAAACAAAAAGATCAACAATTTGCCTTTTTAAAAATCCTAAAATTTTTACAGTACAGTATCACAGCACATTGGATGAAGAAAACCGTAAATCAATCTCCTTTAATATGAGCTATCCCAAGTGTACTACCCCTCACATTCTCAAGGAAATTAATCTAGCAATGACTTATTTTATCTTACCTCCTGAATATTCCATTTTAAAGAATAAAACCCTGTGTTAGAGCATTGTATGACTGAAAGCCAATCCTAAACAACTTTATGTTTATCTCATGATATTCAAAAAATTACAAAGAAATTAAAATAAAGTACAAAAATCCCTACTCTTGTATATCTACATTAAAAATTCCTCTTCTTTCACACTTTATCACTTCTTATGCTTTTGTAGTGTATCAACGTCACTTTTCTTGTAAGTTATTTTATATTCTATCAATTCCTTGTGCACACATTAGTTTTCCTTGTTATCATATAATTTACTCAAACTTCATGGATTGCAAGGGCCAGCATTCCCGTCAATTTACTACAATCAGTAAAAAGCACTCTAAACCTGGCATATAGTGAATAGTCAGTAAGTTTTAGAACTGATATATTCTCATTGTTTCATTGTTAAATGTACAAATGTTAGTGATGCACAACAGTGAAATGAGCAGTATAAAAATGCAATAAAGCATATACCCAAATAACCTTTATCAAAGAAAAAAGTACAAAGTGTGGAACTCAAAATCAAAAGAGCTGAATTTATATCCTAACTTTTCAAATTATCGGCTTTAGAAAGGTAACTTTCATCTCTAGAAACTTCAGTTTTATGTTCAAAACAGAATTAAATTCAAACATTAAGTTATTCCTGTAATTGAATACAATATTTTTGGAATTGAATGCATAATAATAACTGCTATTATGCATGTCTAATTTTAAAATGCTGTATATCAGTCCTCACGATTCAATTTCTTTTTTCTTTTTGGGTCACTCCTGGCGATGCTCACGGCACTACTGGTTTTGCAATCAGGAATCAATCCTGACAATGCTCAGGGAACCATACGGGATGCTGGGAATCAAACCCAGGTCTGCCACGTCAAGGGAAACGCCCTACCCACTGTACTATCACTCCATCCCCTGTTCACGATTCAATCTTAATAATTAAAGTAACACCAACTTATTTTTCTTACACCCTTAAGTTTAAAGGGTAGTACACACCATCTATCAGACATCGCATAATAATCTATGACAGAAACCCAGGAGCATCTTTCTTCCATAGAACGGTAAAATATTATTAGCTGTTCTATTTTACACTAGAATGAATTTTGGACTCCCGAAGTCAGGAAGTTCGCATCCTTTCGGGTCTCTGTCCACTCCACCATTTCTTTGCTATCGTCTCCCTCCACCGCCTTCACACCCTCGGAGACTCCTTCGTTCAAAGCCTTTGATGCCCGCACAGTTCCAGGATGCTGAGCTCTGCAGGCCAGGACCATCCATCTGATGGAGTCTGCGCAACCATGGGCTTACACACACATCCCGCTCACAGCAGGGCTTCGCGCTTACGAAGGACACTCCAGCAGGACCGTCCCCAACTCCCGGAGTAACCACTGCCTGTGGGGGAAATACTTCTGAATACAAGATCTGACTCCAAAACCATGCCAGTGAAACATTTCCAACGGGGCAGGGAGCACCGTCTCCCTGTCAAGGCCTGGTCGTCAGTATCTGAAAGGCGTTTCAGAAAGAAAGGCTGCGCATTCTGTTCTCTGGGGGCAGGAGCGTCCCCGTCCCATCAGGCGAGGCTAGGCCGCCCATCCCTAGAGAAGAAGGCCTCCAGGGAAGCCGCGTGTGTTGTGCCTCACCTGAGCCCCCGGGCGCCGGAGCCACTGAGGCGGAGAGAAGGAGGAGGATGGCGGCCCAGAAGAGCAGGCAGCCAGCACGGGCCCGCCGCCTGCCCCGACGCGCCCGGCGGGGGCCCGACGCCTCCATCCACATCACCACCTCGGCGCGAAGGGCGTTAGGCGCGCGCCCCGCCCGCTGTGGGAAGTTGAGGGACCGGAAAGGGCCCTGAGAGCCGGCAGGCACTTCCGGCCTGGTGGGCGCGGGCCGGCGTTGAGGCCCAGGGCAAGGGGCGCGAGCGGGCGGCACTTCTGGCCAGACTGGCGCGAACCAGGAGGTGGCGTCTTTACTGATAAGAGCACGGCGCTGTGATTGGGAGTGGGAAGGCGGTGGGAGGGACCTGAAGGGCAGTTAGACGTTGTCCCCATGTGTTTCGTCCCCCACGTGCCTTCGTTCTTGCGCTCAGCCAAGACGCTCACCCCTCCTGCTCTTGGTAGCCTGAGGGTTCCTAGGGACCGAGCCCAGAAACAGAAAGGAACCAACACACCAACTTCTCTCGGAGAATCAAGTGGCTCTACTTGCAGCGTGTGAACATCGATGAAATGATTATAGTGCAACATTCCAGCGATAAATGAAATGGGAGGTCTTCACGCTCAGGAAGACACTGACAGAATGAATGAAATCACTTTAGCTGGAATAAGCTTCAACGTTTTCACCTGGAAGATCATCTTTCTCCACCAAAGTCCAGGAAAAATGTGCAAAATCATTATCTAGAGGCCCAAGAGGGCTTTTATACAACCTATGAGAGTCTTGCCTTAACTTTATTTTTTTTTGGAAGCCTGATCTACTTAAGCAGAACAGAGACTGATAAAATCAATCTTATGTTGTCATTTCAAATACATTGAAGAATGAAGTTTAACCAACTTTACCCAGAGCACATTAAAAACAATGTATATTGTTGCTTTTAATAAGAAGAAATGAGTGACTGAATGACTTAAGAAGCATTACTGGATATACTGGCACTTGATAAGTAATTTCAAATAGCCTTAGTCCTCCTTCCCACATATTGTTTATATTACATTTATATATTGACATTTATATTACATTTATATATTGACATTTATATTATGTCAATGAGTCAATATATTTGACTGTCAATTTATATATTGACATTTATATAACATTTATATATTGACATTTATATTATGTCAATGAGTCAATATATTTGACTGCCCTCTCATTGTAGTACAGGTATCATTGTCCCTTGATGTCTGAGTCTTGATTTACATAAATATGTGCCTGGCTCTACAAAACCCTTTTGCCATGTTTTTAACTTCAACTCTTAGCCTACTGGCCTATAGTATATAAATGCCAGGTGTTCAAACAAGCTTTATTTTTTTGCTTCCTAACTGAACTAAAAATAAAAGGTTCTTTCCAAACTAGGACAAGCATGGAAACACTTCTGTAGAACTACATAAATATTTTCAGAACACCCTGGTTCTTAATAACAAAGAAACCTCCACATATTTCTGAGTTTTCTGGTTCTATTTATGCTTGTGTCAACTGGCAAACTAAACAGTACAATTTATTCCAAGGACCCCATTTATTTATTGCAAAATTCTAATCTGCACAATCTTCTAAATTCAGGCTATTGAGACATGTTTTAGTGAACAAAAACTTAAATAATTTGACTCAGGGCAGTGTTTGGTCAAAATGTTGTAGTTCATTTAGGCATATTTAAAGCAAATATAGTTACTGAATAGTATCAACACTTATTGAAGTATATGCTCCTAAAAGCCTTCTTAATTTTTTATAATAATAAACTTATGATATATAATTTTTTTTGCTAAATCAAAAGTTTGTAGACTTCTTGAGAAGTTTGTAGACTTCTTGAGAATATTCATACCTATAATATTTGTCAAAGATGAAAGTAAAGATAAAAATTAAGAATCTAGATATATCACTCGCATTTTTATTTTTACCGCAGTTGAAAAGATTCTAAGATTATGAACTTGTACTAAAACTCCACTACAGCAGGTACTTAACTAATGATTTCATTGGCATGATGATGGGGAAGAACTCTATTTACTGTAAATATGCCAGCCCTACTTTCATTATATGTAGTATCACTTAACTCAAGTTTTCAAGAAACTGTGGATGATCTTAAAAGTCAAGAATATGTGTGTCTTCATGTAAAACTAAAACAGCTTAACTGGAAGGGTGAAGTGCTCGTTGACTTTAGTAGGTCACTTTAAATTTTACCCATGAAACAAGTAGCCTATATAACATGTAGCAAATAAAAATAGGTAATGGGATGTCTGGGGTGAGAGATGGCAGTAAATAAAAGCCCCCCCCCCCCCCAAAATCACCACCACAAGCTATTGCCAACTACAGGGTGAGGTAGGGTCTATACCCTGATGACATATTCAGATATTCAGGCTGATAAAGAATTTGAACAGTACAACAAAAAAATTCCTTAATCTTCTGAGCTTCTATACAAATCTTACATAAAAACACTCAAAAACCACCAGCTCAAACAAAAAATCTACCTTTGCGCTAACACCAAAGTATCTCAATGAACAGTATTTTGATGATGTATTTTTTAAAACTTGTTTGAAGCTAGCACCCTCATTTCCTAAAATAATGTCCTCCTTCAGTATTGTTATCCTAGACATCACAGTAGCAAAAAAAAAAAAGGTTAACTTAAGGCCTATACAGGATAAACCTCAAACTATAAATCTTTCTTAATTATATCACTTTAACCTCAGTATGATAAATGATTTTGTGTTTAATATAAATTTAATATAAAATTAAATATAAATTTAAATTTATATTTCTAAACTATAAACACTTGTAGCTTATCTGTGTTCCTCACATACTTTTAAGGAGTATATTTGGGGCACTAAAGAAATAGTGTAGGGGTAGATTCAGGCATTTGCCTTCCATGCAACAGACCCCAGTTACAGCTCTCACTCTACATAAATACCAGAGCACCTCCAGGAGTGATCCTCTAGCACAGAACCAGGAGTGGCCTCAAGCAATGTAAAGTGTGTCCCCTAAATCAAAAGAAACTAATCAAAATTATGATATTGTTATTTTATAAAATGTTTTATATTCAGTTTATATTGTATACTGTAAAATCCTCTCTACTCGCATGAAGGTACCAGCAGAGGAACAAAGGCATGCGGGTCCTGTGACTGAGATCTCCAAGCCTGCTGGGATCGGGACTGAACATCCTCCACCCAGATCCTCCATCTTCCAGTAGGTACGGGTCACACCCACCAACTGACCCCCTCCCGACCCCACCCCCAGTGCTGTGTAATCCCATCAATGGCCAAGACCCAGAGACTACAAAACCCAGCTCCCGGAAGAGAACAGTGCAGAGTCTCCTGCCCTCGCGCCTGACTGTCTTCGCCAGAGCCCCTTGGAGGGGGGCGGGTTGAGTTTCCCTCCCCGCCCCGAGCAGAGCTCTGGCAGCCGAAGACCTCCAGAACCAGCCACAACCATGCTGAGACCACTCTCTACACGCATGAAGGTACCGGCAGAGGAACAAAGGCATGTGGGTCCCGGGGCTGAGATCTCCAAGTCTGCTTGGATCAGTACTGAGCATCCCCCACCCAGATCCTCCATCTTCCAGTAGGCATGAGTCACACCCACCAACTGCCCCCTGCCGCCGTGTAATCCCATCAATGGCCAAGACCCAGAGCCTATAAAACCCAGCTGCGGCCGCGCGACATCTTATTATCTCATTCTTGCTTTGGACAACCTGGCAGGCTACCGAATGTAACCTGCCCACACGGCAGAGTCTGGCAAACTCAGCATGGTGTACCCAATATGCCAAATACCAGTAACAATGATGGGTCTCATTCTCCTCACCCTGAAAGAGCCTTGAATATGGCACTTTATAATCTCAGGGCTAGGACGAAGGAGACGTTACTGGTGCCTGCTGAGACAATCGACAACAACAGGATGATTGTGATCGTGATCATGACTGTAAAATACCAACTGGAAAATTTTTAAATAATGAGAGACTGGAGAGATAATCAGCAGATAAGGTGCTTGCCTTGTGTAGTAAGTTTAACAGAGGTTCAATCCCTGACACCCCATATGGTTCCCCAAGTCCTACCAGGAGTAGGAGATTCAGGAATAAGCCCTGAGCACAGCAATAAACAGGGGTAGGAAAGGTAGTAAAACAGGGAAGGTACTTGCTTTCCTTGCATATGGCTGACTTGCGTTTCTACCATCAGCGCTGCTATGGTTCCCCCAAGCCTTATCAGGGGTGATTCCCCAAGCAAAGAGCCAGGAATAAACCTTTAATACTACTGTGGGATACTAAAAATGAATAAATAAATTAAATAGAAGACAAAAGAGTATGGTTTACCTGGGCATTTAATGAGAAAATATTCAGTAAAATCTGGCAAACACTATTTTTGTTTAGCCAAAAAAATGAATTGATATATGTATATATAATTTACCTACAATGTTAAAGTTCTAGTTGTTGCCAGGCAATAAAACCGTTTTTTCCTGTATGTTCTATTTTCTTATTATACGCCCTTTGGTGGAGAAAAATGTTTATCTTGACAAAAAAATGGAAAAAGACCTTTAGAGATATTTAAAAATCCAAATAAACTTAATGTTATATTAACTGGTACTCAATTAATGGAAATATAAGGAGTATCTTAAGTTTTGAAGGAATCATCATAAGCAATTTACAAGAATTCATAAGAAGAAAACAATGGATGTGGACTCACAGCACATACCTGGAAAGATAAGTATTTCTAAAAGATCCATTCTTTCAGAAACAAAGGCTATAGAAAATAGAGATTACCCACATTACTGTAATCTCTTAAGAAAGATAAATATACCCTTTGTAAGAGGAATTGAAGACAGACACGACTGTGGCAGAATTGAAAAGAGACATAACACTTCTTTTCTTAAATTTCACACTTATCCCCCATCAGATCTGCCAGACTACCATTTACACTATCCTTATCCCCCACCATCTGGGCCAGAATATCCTTTGGCTCCAATTAGGGATGATGTGCCCTTAGGTGATACTTGCTCTGGATTTTTGAGTCCTGGTGGTGATGCTGATTTGAATCCTGGCATTGGCAGAAGGATACCAACCTTGGTCGATTTCAGTGATATTA